GACTTGTGAAACGAGACGCTCAATCTGCAGACCTCAAGGACATAGTTGTTTATGTGCAATCTGAATTACAGGAAAAGTCAAATACTTCTGTGCGAACAGGAAATGTATTAAAAATTGATATAAATCTTAATACGAACGTGACTCAAAATGAGAGAGAATATAGCTACATATATAAAATCCAGTGTGTTAAGAACGTACCAAAAGCATATGCCGTCGATTCTTCTTCTGCATGATGCATCTTCTTTCTTAATATTAACCAAGAATTTGATATTTTAGTCGTCTTCTCTTTTTTCTTTTAATGTTTTGTGTGGTAGAAGGAACAGCGATGTCTTTCCACGTGAGGAATGTTGGCTATATGCAAAAATACTTATCAATAAAGTAAATACTTTCTCACAAAAAGATTAGGGAAAAATCGACGTAACTGTAGAACACCATTATCAAAACCATGTCATTTGTGGTTTCAGCTGAATCTTGTGTTGCTTTATAATTTTTTAACTATAAATGGGGGTTTCTTTAGGCACTCGTTTAAAAAGAGAATAGACAGAAGAATAACTAATAATGATATTGATAGTAGTAGTAGTAATAACAATAAAATTAATAATAATAAGCAATAAAATACCGCTTTGAGTTCACGCAGTCGCGAATTCTTTTCCCCCCAAAATAAACCCGGAGGAGGGTTTTGGTTCGATTCTATACGTCTATTTTTTCTGCTCCGCGGAAAGCAGGGAAGCGCTCCGCAGCGCTGCAGCTTTGTGTGGGCTGTGTGAGTGAGGGCGAGAGGGAGGGTGTAAAGTCAGAAGAGACACCTGTCTGTTTATAAGGAAACCTGACTTATATGGTTATATGGTTTACCAATATCTTTATGCTTAATTCGGAGCAGTTCCATATGCTGTAGCTAGGTAATTCAATTAAAAACTTGTCACCTCTGCACTTGTTTTAATCGTGAGCAGAATCTTTGTTGTTAACGGAAAAATCGCAGATAATGAGAACATTAAGTGTTCTATCCATTTATTCCAAGGATCCTGGGATATTAACTTAAACCAAAATGATTTAGTCAATATAAACACATAACTAAATAAATAATCATAAAGAGACATTAAAAGCAATGTGAAGTATATGCAGTATAATCATCTGATATTCTCAGAAAAAACTTTTTTCTTGAAAATGTCACCCCTTCTCATTAATCTTTGTATTGTGTTATCTGTTATTGTGTTATCTATTAGGTTATTTCCATAACTATGGCAGAGCACTTGAAGATATAGATAACTGAGTAACTTATTTCAGACCTATCCTTCCACTCTTCACATTCTTTCTCTACACGCCATTTTATCCTAGATTTTCAAATTAATACATACCAGAACTTATTTTATTTATAGATTACGTGTCATGTAAATATGTAGGCCTATGTAAAGTATTAAGGTATTGACAGTGAATCGATAATTACGTTACTTGTTAAAATAAGTGTGAAATTTCGAGATGTCCGCAAACTGTATTATTTTCGGCATGGAAACATGTGTAGAAAACCTAGTTTACTCTGAAACTGGACCAAAAGTACATTCAGTGGAGGTAAATTCCGAAAAGAGTAAATGATTAACAAAGTGAAGCGTGTATATTTTAAATGCTCTTTGGAATTCAGAAAAATCGCAAAATCCAGGATTTATGGGAAATTGACAGTGTGGCCCCAATAAATGGGCAAAAAGGATGAATATGCGATATTGCTTTAAAGTGAACAACTTGCGTCAAATTCTAGTAAATCTACAACGAATACTACTACTACTACTAGGCTACTATTATGTTAATACTACTATTACTACTACTACTGCTGCTACCACTACTACTACTACTACTACTACTACTACTACTATAATAATAATAATAATAATAATAATAAGCAAGCAAATCCCAGTCGCATTATTAATTCCACTTCCCCTTCCCCCATCCCACTGGGACATTCATCGATTGAGAAGGAGAGTCGGGGATGTCGCTGCACTACATATTTACCGATCACAAACAGAAAAAACAGACAATTGAACGATTTTGTTCGCTCGGGGCGGGGAGAAATGGGTAAATCACTTTATTATTGTTTGTAAAGCAAAGAGCGCACACTGGGACACGGTGCTGCAATACGTGTCCCGGTCGGAATAAGTGGAGTTAGACGAATCGATAGTCAGTGATTAGACGATCTCGCTGTAGCCTACGAGCGGCAGTGGCTTCCGTGCAAGGATCCCGTGAAACAAAACTATATGTATTTATATAGACAAATCGAATAATGTTAACATCAGTAAAGAATTTTATAGATGATTTGCGTTTTCATCTTAAAACAATATTAATTCGTTAAGTGACCTTTCTCAAATAGGAATTATTGCAGCATAAGGCAGTTATAAAGTACTGCTCCAGCCGAGAATCGAGGGATGTGGATGATCACTAAGTAAAAAAAACACCGCATTGAAGAGATGAAGACGTGCCGTGTAAGCCTGTAGCATGAAGGAAAGACAGGAAAGTTCGCTTGAATCTTATCACTGCCTTCGCCCAGCCATCCAGGCAGGAGATAGAGGCACCCTGACCTGAAGGTCACCAAGATCCTGGCCTGATTAACCCTTCCAGACCCAGCACAGAGCAAAGGTTAGCCGGGCTAATCAACTCTAAGAGGCTGATTAAGTCCAAAGAGGAGAAAAAATAGGAGGAACGAATTCTCTCCCCTACACTGAACATTCCTTAAGCAATTGGTTTCACTTACTGTCTGTAAGAATATATCAGATTATTTCTGTCTTTTTTTCTGCAATTGTCTTATTTTTTACTCCTAATATATGAACATTGTTGAATTTTGTTAAAAATTTCGATTTTGATGGTCTTGTTTTAAAAGGGGAAGAGATTGTGGGGAGCAGGTTTAATAAATTCACTAAGTATGTTAAAAAAAAAAAGGTGCATATAGATTATATAGGATGATGCAGGATTTGCACGACATCTACTTCCATTACTCTGAAAAGAGAAAGAGAAAGATTTTTTAAAAACTTTCTTCAGCTAAAAATATTAATATTTTTTAGACGTATCTGATTGAATTGTTACGAATAATTAGTCATTATTCTTGTACTCATTCTTCTAATTATGGACTAATTAGCCTTATGCTGTAATTTGCAGTAATGTATAAAAAATAGGATGAAGTGTATTTTAGAATACTATTTCTAAAAAGGATAAACTATATTTCAGAGTACCATTACTAAATAGGATAAACTATATTTCAGAGTACCATTACTAAATAGGATAGTATAGTTCAGAGTACCATTACTAAACAGGTTAAAGTATATTTCAGAGTACTATTACTGAAGTGTCGGTGGTCTGGTGCTGGGTAAGTGGTTGGAAGACAGCTGGATGGACTTCAAAATGGAAACTTTATGTTTTAGTAAACGCTAGAAAAATATTACATAAAATTAAAAAAATTACAATATATTTTTTGTAATACTTTTTGTTTAGCTAAAGAAAAACAATTGATAACCATGAACGAAAAACGTCACATTGAATCAAACCATGAACCAAAAAAAGTCACATTATAACCTTTTGGTCTTATCTAGGCTGTATTATTGAAAACATCTATTGCTTAAATAAAAAAAAAAATCATTTGGATTTTTAAAATAAATTATGACTAAATATGTTTTAATATATACTCTTAAAGTCAGTTTTTTTGCAGGTTGTATTCATTCAGTTTTCTATTATTAAGAGGGAAAATATATGATTGATTTGAAACTATTAAGAATTTTTAGGTTATATATTTAGGGCATATATTTTCTGTTTTTCTTTAATATCAGTGGCGTTTGAAATAGATGAAATTGCATCTCCATCATGCATTGTTGGAACAGTGTGATGAATGTTTCAGAAGAACAAACCCCAGAGAAAGGCACGCAGCACAGTCACTGCTAGCCGATCCCCGCACTGTACGGCGTCGTGCTGCTTCATTAATGGCTTCCTCTAATAGCATTTGTAGCAGCCTTGTAAAATCATTGAAACAATCACGTTTACAACATTTCACCTGGTGAAGCCACAGCACTTTTAACTTCGATTACAGATTGGTACCTACTAAACCTCAGGAAGTATATGCAATTCTTTGAGAACTACAGTAAATACTGCTGCATATAATTATATTCAATTGTCATGGTATTAATGTCCCCAGCTTAAGTACATCTGATAAGGCTGGCAGGTGGCTGTCAGTGGCTCCTCTTTGCTAATAAAGTATCAGAAAATCACTCATACAGAATTTTTGCCATTATAAAAAGAATATAAGTAAACAGTATCCTGTCATTCAGGTTAGCATTAAGAAGAGATGCACACGGCTGATAGGGTCCTTAGTACAAAGCAGACATTTCCTAATGATTTTAAAGTTGCTTTAATTCAAGTAAAGGGTGTAGGTTTCATACTGGGGTGAGGACCAAATGAGCCCCAACCCCCCCAGCCCCGAAATACATACAGTACTCCCAGAGTAATGACAGGTTCCTCTACACGTTCCTGCCTTGAACACCCGAATCTATGCCCTTCATTCAGCCATTAACTGGGCATGTCTTGCTCTCACTCAGTCCCTCTTAAGTGGCATTCGACTATTTATTGAGCTGATGACAATAGTGAGTGTGTGACTGTGAGATTCTACAGATGTTTCAGCAACAATGGTGTGAACCGGTAAGTTGCAGATATGGAGCAAAATTCGTTGTGTGTTATTAAAGCATTACAGTCATGGGCTTATCCTCTTGTATTGATGATGACATAACCCATAACTATATTACCAGAACAGATTTAAAGTACTCATATATATTTCTCTGGTGTCTTGAAACATCCAGATACTAGTATTCCTTCATCATGTTTAATTATGTAGGTATTGTTTTATATATTTGATCTGTGTTTTATTAACTTTAAAGACTATTTTTAATGCAACAGTAGTTGAGTCTGATTAACTGGAAGACTCATTAGTTTATTTTGTGTGCCAAGAACTCGCAAAGCCTTAAGGAGTAAAAAAGGTGTGTGTGTGTGTGTGTGTGTGTGTATACACACACCTTCAAGCATACCTTTAGGCTATGCAAAAGTCCGTGATATCAGTTGCATGCAAATTGAATAGGATTATGGTTATATTGCATCCAGAACCTGGCTCCATGCCAAAATGTGTTCTAATTTGTTCAATGTTTTCCACAGGCACAAAAACAACACCACTGCCTCAGGATTTATCAAGAACATACAGGACCTCTGATCCTATATCACTATGAAAAGGGCACCATTTTCTGAAAATATTCAGTTAACTTTTAAATTAAATTCCCAATAACCATGTTATTTAATGTTAATTTGCGTATCAGATAATTAAGTGCGTGCTTTTGAAAAATATGTAATGTAATATACGTTAATTATATTCATTATATTCAATTATATCCATCCATCCATCCATCCAAACACCTAATCATTGTCAGGGCTGTGGGGGGTCTACAGCCAACCCCTGGCTGCATAGGGCATATGACAGGGCTGCACCCCGAATGGGATGCCAGTTCATAACTTCTCTTTTAATTATAAATGAATGTCTAATTAAAGACCTGTCTTTTCCTGGACTTTTTGTAAGTTTATAATTCTAAACATGACAGATACAGCTTCCTGAAGCATTAAGTAATATTTACTGCAATGACTAATTTGTTGGTTTTTGGATTACCATATTATCTTTAGTATATTAAAGGAAATGCAGTGTATTCACATTTCTAAAATATGAATACCGTAGAAAGGTGATGAAAAGCTGTTGTTTTTGGAATGTTGTGAATGCTTGTAAATGAGGTCAGCCCTCATTTTAAATGAATACCAAAGAATAGCAAGAATCTATTAAGAAATTGCTTTTTTAAAATTTCAAACGTATTTACTAAAAGAAGACTTAACTTTGAAGAAGTGGACTTATAACAGCCATGGTGTTTCATAGCCATTTCTAATGACTGATTTTGTTAAAAAATCGGATCCAAACTGAGGTTTTACAGAAAAGCATCCAGCATTATCAGTGTCATGTAGATATATTAAATATCCCCATTCAAGGCCCCTTTCAAGAAATGAAGGACTAGAAATAGGTAATAAAGACTTGCAGAAATATACTTCATTAATTGTACTCATTTTTGTGCAAATTAATATATAAAGTTTTATGTGAGAAGAAGAAACCCAGAACAAGCAGATTTGGTCACTGCTGGTTCTGCCCTGAGCCATTCCTCCCTGAGCCTTTCTGCCCTGAGCCTTTCTGCCCTGAGCCTTTCTGCCCTGAGTCTGTCTGCCCTGAGCCATTCCTCCCTGAGCCTGTCTGCCCTGAGCCTTTCTGCCCTGAGTCTGTCTGCCCTGAGCCTGTCTGCCCTGAGCCTGTCTGCCCTGAGCCTGTCTGCCCTGAGCTTTTCAGCCCTGAGCCTGTCTGCCCTGACTCATTGTTTTTCAGGATAGCATGTCCACTTTTCATTTTGCTTTGGTACTGTGTGGACATTTCACAAATTTCAATTTATCTTACAGTAAGGGAAAATTTGAACAGTTGACTCTTTAGTTCAAGGCCTGTCATTTAATCCAAATTCCTTAAATAACGGGAATTTAGGAATAATCACAATCATTTCTAATATATTTCTGGATGTCTATTATTTGGCATCAAGCTTGACAAGTCAGTTATTTAGTTGTTTTTGCTTAAACAAGTTGGAGCAACATGAATCACACCTTTCACAGAAGCTGAATCAGGCTACGTCAGTCCTCTGCATGTCTAATGAGAATACATTCAGGAAAGATTAGACAGTATTTTATTATTATGACGGATTAGATTAATAGAAAAGGAAGAAAATCTCAAACAAAAATCTTAAAGAGATAAAGAGTTGTATCCAAAACTTTGGATGAATAAACAAAACATGAAAATATTAAAAGTATAAATCAGTTGTCAATGAACTACTATGCACATAGTGAAAATAAAAAAACAAATGAATTAGTTCTGGTAACTTTTATTGTTATGTTTTTATTATATGCTTTTCTTTAGTTTAACGTGTATATGCATACCCATTTAATGTTATTAGCATATCTTACAACCAATAGCAAACAGATGGAGCAAACATTACAAAGTCACAGATTTACTAGGGATTTTTCGGGGGAAAAAAAAAATTGGGTTAGGGTTACCCTGTCTTCCTGTTAAACACAGGTTTATGGGTGTCTGTGCTCATTTACAAACAGGTTTATTATGTCACCATGCTCACATACAAAATGCCTTGCCACATATCCATGTTCACTTCGAAATACATTTGCCTTATAATAATACACGTTCTTTTAAAAACAACTCTACTTCGCCGTTTCACCTACAATCCAGTTTTCATGTTGAACCACGCTTCTGCATCTTTTCTGTTTGCACCAGTCTCATAGCAAAGGGAATTATGAAAGTGCTTTGCGTTATGATTTAGGTATGCTATAATCAATTACATTTTATATTATATATGACAGCTGTACAATGTTTAAGATCTTTAGTATTTTAATAGGTATACTATTGCTGTATGCCAGAGACAGCTGTTTCAACACAATATTTATCTAAGTAAATGTCACTAAAGAGGCACATAGAATAACATGGTGTACAGAAACGACATAAAACTCCTTTACAGGTGTGTGTCTGCATGTGTATGTGTTGTGTATGTCGTGTGTGTGTGTGTGTCTGTGCGTTTGTGTGTGTGTATATCTCCGTGTTTGTCTGCATGTGTGTGTATGTATGTCTGTGTGTGTGTGTGTGTATTCTTTGTGTTACTGTCATCCGCTCAGTGCCTGTCTTCCCTGAGGGCGGATCTGAGCAGGCAGCAGATTCAAGATAACTCACAGAGTCTGATGTATCCATGATGAATTACTGTGTCAGTTTAAAAGGCAAAAGATTAATTTGTTTCAATAATTCCTCTCTAGGCTGAAAGACTTTCTTCACTTGGTGAGGAATTGTTTTCTTTAATTTCTCGATGTTTCTTTTTAAAAATATGCAAGTGAAAGAATGTTAGTAAGTAGTTATATTGGTGTATTTCAATCAGGTTTATACACAAACACACACACACAGTCAACTTTGTATTTTTTCCTATTATCCTTCACATAGAGCAATTAGCAACACTAGAGCTAACTTGAATTCTCCTGAAAAGGTATTTAAAGACTCAGAAACAGATTCATAAATAAATAACTGATCCTCTGATCGTGATTATGATGATGATAAATGTGATTCCCGAGAAGCACTTTGGATTACTGAGCAAAGTCGTCGCTTGATTATTTGGTGTGTTTTTGTATTTCACTTGAAGGAGACTCAGGAGCTTCATTCACACTTTTGTGACACTTGAAACTACATTTATATTTTTATTTGGGAGAAAAAAAGAAATCATATACAAGTCATGCAATGTTCAATAAAGAATATCAATTTAGTTTTTTGCATTTTGCATTTTTTCCTTTATTGATATGACCTGTGTTTTATGTAAGTGCAGTAAGGATATGTATAGAAATGTCAGCTTTTATGTGGCTGTGTGAACAGTTTCAGCATTTTAATTTTCTTTCAGTCTGTCATATACACATTCACACATGTAATTTAATTATCATTCACTTTTTGGTTTTTACTTTCATTATATAAATGTGAATGTATAGGCACAATATAATTAAAATGATGTTGATCCAGACATATGTATCAGTGAATGCAACTTACTGTCCCTTCTTACATTGCGTTTGGCAAAATAATTGCTGAAGTGAGACTAAAATAAGAGGAATTATTGGTATTGTGCAGAAGCTGCTTCAGTAATGAGCCCAAGTCAGCAGGAACGCCATAAAAAGCCGGCTGAGTTGCTGAGATAAAGGCCTTCGTCTTTGCTGTCAACAAGAAACAACCGGAAACGTCTGCAGTGAGAAAAAAGGTTTAGTTGACAACCATCCTCAGTTTTACAAAGATGGTGGAATGAATAGGAACTTCAAGAGGAGTACAGCTTGCTTCCTCTCACGCACTCATGGAAAATTACTTAGGCATAAGATAGCTTTCGTAAAGCTTCAACACTAATAAAGAAATAGATAATGATGGTCACATATTGTTTAGCCTAAAAATGTGTTTGTATGTCACAAATATCCAGGCATATATAAGTCAGTAGTTATGGGGGATGCCCTTGTGCAGCAGGGGACTCAAAGTGACTCGCGACTCTCCACGTGCCTGCGAGGGCGTCAGAAGCTACAGATGTGGCCACCTATTGAAATGTGTCTTGGGGAAGATTAATAGGACTTGTCAGTACTGGGAAAGTGCTGCTTTGCAGTGAAGTTACCGTCAGCCTCAAGATAAATTACAGGTAAATGCTTGGTTATCAGTCTATAAGAGACATTATACATCTAATTAAACAAAACAAAATTCTGGAGGGTTAAGGCTTCTTTTTCCAAGAGACAAAATATTTATTACAGTCTATTAATTCTGGAGTATTCATATTTTATTTCTGTGCGCAAAGTACCAAATACAGGTAAGTATTTGGGAGCTGGAGTAATCCAAATTTATATAACATCCATTATCTTACTGCCTTTTGCCCTTGGCTTTGACCAGCAAATTAGTTATGGATAAATACCATGGGTTTCAAAATAGGTCTGATGTAATTAAAACAAATAATTATTTGCAGCTTATCTTGTTCTGTGCAAGATGAGGGTGGTGTTACTTTATAACTATTGATCGTTAAAGCTGCTATAAGATGAAATTCCATAATTCTAGAGAACAAGCATAGTTTTGAGTTAAGGAATAATGATGTATCATTAAGCATTTAGTTAAATGATAGGAACTGTAAGATAAAACAGCTAGCCACATAAATCTGTCTTTGTAATAACAAGCTGTAAAACACACTGACTATCAAAATAGATTTTACAAGAAGAAAGGAGAATTAAATCAACATAAATTTTAATTTTGTGCTTAATCTTTATAAATTACACAAGTAACCTTTTTACTGTTTTCAGCTGGCAGGTTTGCATTCTTTCCAGATCGATAGATGATAGCTGATTTGTTAGATAAAGTATAATATAATATAATATAATATATTCCCACGCCAAAGTTCATCCATACTACTTCAGTCTGGATTTAATCATAGGTTACTGGGCTGCCTTTTAGTTATTAGGAAGCATAAATATTTTGAGTGGTAATGAAAGACGGACAGCACAGAGAGATATGCTTTGTGGAATGGAGCTAATTGGAAGCAGCTTAATACTAATGAGTACTACTGGGAAGCACACAGAGCACTTCAGTGTGTCCTCAGCTTGGAAAGTTTTATTATTGTAATTTGTAATATATATATATAATATATATATATATATATTTTAATTATATATAATATATATATAATTAAAAAAACAATGAATACACAATTACCTGTACAGAACTTTGACAAGAAAAAAGAAAACCAAATGGCACTCTTTACTTCACCAAAATAACAGAAAAGTGACGTAACAAAACATCAATTATCACGCAAGGTTGCTCTCAAGCTCTCTGTTCTGCCACCATGAGACTGTATGGCGGCAAAGGTGTTAGTCATTGTTGGAGGCCCATTTTCAAAGGAACGTACCAATTATTCTTCTGGTTGTGTGCACTTACCAAAAGGATTTTCTTTGGGTTTCGTGTTTAGGATTCGTTGTAATTATTAGGTTGAAGCACTGCTTTGCCTTAAGGAAGCGAATGTACTCAGACCTGTTGAAATGATGTATCAAAATGTTTGCCACACTTGACACTCTTGTAAATTATAGTGCCTTTCTTGTGTTCATAAATCATATGCAGAATCGCAACTTCTGGAATTGCCATATTATTATGATTAAGAGACAAGCATTAGCAAATGAAAGTAAGCCTGTGTGATACCCCTAGACCAAAGCACTAAACACAGGTCCTGTTAACACGGGATGTGCGTGGCTGCATCCTTGCTGAAATTATTCAGCTGCACAATTTACATTTTAACCAAGATCCTGCACTCACTCCCTGAGTACTACCAGTTATCCCACCATGACAAGGGGGAAAGGAGCACCGAAGACTATTGAAATCATAACCTTGTACAGCCTGTTTATGTTCATAACTGCTTGTGGTCTCATTTGTTGTTACTGCCTGACTTTATGATCCATGAATTTAATCTGTTGTAGTAAAGATACTATTCGAAATTACCTTTAGCAAAAATGTGATATTATAATGCAACATTTATTTTCATACATTATATTGTGGACTGTTTATAGGTGAGAAGGAAGTTGGGTGTTTGCATTCTCTTTTAAAATGCTCGGGTGACTTGAAAACATCTTGTTTAAATATCTTGCCCTGACCTATAAGTCTCGCACCCAGTTCCCACGGTCATATGACCAAAACACGTGACTATCTTACCTCACAGTTTGCAGTAGGTCCTTTGACAGTGGGATGTTTGCGTTAAACATGTAACAGTTGTGAGCACATTACTGAAAAAACAAAAAGTTCTTTCCCCTGAAACTTTTTTCCATTTTAATAGCGAGAGAGAGCGAGAGAGCGAGAGAGAGAGAGAGAGAAGAGCAAATCTTACACCTAACTGTAGCCTTCATGGCCCTGCTCCCAAAGACAGATGATACATGTAGTGTGGCTTTGAAAAATTTTCACGTAAAGCGATCCAGGGGAGGGGAGACCTCATAGTACACGAGCTTTAATGAGTGCTGAGTTGTTGCGGTATTCACCAGGCTGCCAAACAAGCCCAGCTACACTCCACAAGCATGCGAAGAGGCTGCAATGAAATCCGTTGTCAAACAAGGTTTGGGATCAAATGCCCAGGCAGAGTGTGGTGCTTACATGATACTCCCTCCAGCCGTGTCACTCTTGATGTTCTTCATGCGTCCTTCAAGGGCTCCTCTCTTATCACTTATGTGTCCGGACTTTAATAATTAACTAGGTTAAGTAATTAACCAGTACAGTATCTAATTAAAACTGTATAACTTTTTAGCAGACACAAATAATGTTAGCTATTCATATTACCACAGTGAAATATGATATGATCATGTCTGGTATTTGTTTATATACTGTACACTTAAGTATATTAATTTCTAAATATAGTGTAATGTTTCTGTCTTTTCAGCTACAGCTGGCTTTGCATTTTCTTACATCTTAATAAAAATATAATTATTCAGTCCAATATATGAGCGCAATAACAGAGTCATTGAAGTGGAAACACAAAATGGCTGATCAGTATTTGCCTTCTGGGATATTTTCCAGAGGAACCTTTCGCAGTGAGCCGACAGTAAAACTTTTCTTTTTCATTTTCAATGAGATTCTTGCCATGTATTCCACCCCTGAATTTTACAGACACTATTAACATTCCTGCTAACTGCATTTCAAAGTCTTGAATCAGCAGAATCGGTGGAGTTCTTGGAGGCCCATTTGGTCACGTCTGGGTCCGGTCGCTAATCACTAATCATAAACCTGATATTATGGTACTTACTTACATCTGGCATGAAGCTCTGCTTTAATTGCTCGCTCCGTGTCTGGTTACTTTTTTTTTTAATCAGAACTTCTCATTACTGTTTCGGAGGAGGGCTGCTGTTACTATAATCCACGAGTCTGGACTCCATTTTCCTTTAAAGCCTGTATATAAGTTTAGCTCTTCTGAAGTATTATTTTTTACAGGTGGCACCAGCGTTTCCTCTCACCTTGAGACTTGTAGGCTAGAAGAACACTGTGTGTTTGTGTGTTTTTAAATTGCCTATGGATGGAGGTGTACTTCAGGCAAGGCAGGCAACTTAATTTAAGGATATAACAGAATATGATCATTTAAATTATAGCCACATGTCTGTTATTTGCATTTTTAGCAAAAGTGTTCTGGATAGACAAAGTTTCCCCTCGTCCCGTTTTTAACTGGATATTATAATTTGAGACCCCAGATTTGTCAGCCTAGGGCCCCCAGAGAAGTTAGTCCACCCCTCCCTGTAGTCAGGGGTGTTGCCAAGACTGTATGAGAACACTGGTGTTGTTTATTATTATTGTAACTAGTATACAAACCCATCTATAATGAAACAATTCGGAGTACGTCACAAGGCTCCATCGATAACCATAACCAACAGATCTCAGACACATTTGATGTTGGTGTTGCAGATGTAATTACTGGATGTCTTGAGTCATTTGGATTGGTTACACAGAGAGTGTTGACTATGTTATTTACAAAGTCTAAATCCTCCTCTTATTTACCCATCAAGTTAATGAAGGATCTTCTGGATATAATTGAAAAGTCTATGAAGAAATGTAATGAATTCACCATTTTGCTTTTGTATATGTTCCCGAATATCGTAAGACAGGTTTAATGAGGCCTCAATCAGGCCCAACCTGGGTTAGAATGACTATTGTAGCTTCAAAAAAATATTTTACTATGAGTGCATTGCTCAGCAGTTGCCTACTACCCAGTAGTCAAATAACTATCAGTCTGATTTTCTTCAATCTTTATCATTTACTTATTTAATTTTTCTTTTTGTAAATAAGAGTGTTATCAGTTTTTAGGGTAGATAAGGAGTAATATATATCGCTGTAATATTCAGAGTTCAGGTATGCAGTTCCTCAGATAATGTGTCCGTCACATCTAATGAAATAATTTAACTTTTTAAATTTACATTACATAAATTTACATTACATACATTTCAGCAATAACTTTCTTTTTATCTACACAAACCAGAGATTTTG